TTTTGGTCTCTTCATATGCTATTTTACCACGAGCAACCAAATCATCTTTAACAACAGAAAATGTTTTGGAATTTAATCCATTAATAACAATCGTACCCTCGCCGAGTTCATTAAACTCATAGATGCCGGTAGGTATATAATGATGAACACCATTCTTGGTTCTTAAGCCACCTTCGACAAACAACACCCCAGTGAATTTTGGATTAGTATAAACTTTCACAATAGTCAAACCCGATACTATAACAGACTCTAAAGAGTGCAAACTGATTTTATTATTTGTTACTACATTGGTAAGATTTAAGAGAATATCGAATCGTTCACAAGTTTTATGTATAAGGATATGTGGTTGCTCAGTGTATGTTTGACCTATCATCAGTGGCATTTTCATAGCATCATCTGGGACCAGAAGCAGCTCCGTGTAAGCTCCCACACCATCAATTTCAATTTGCACATTAATTCTCCCTAAAACTGCCACGAAAGAATTACCAAACCCCTTTAGAACAGGCAAACCATCAAGTTCGATGTCTTTGATTCCTAATTTAGTAAAATAAGACTCCTTTAGCATAGAGCACTCGCTACCTAGATCTACAAAAGCCTCTATTGGAACTTTGTTAACCAGCGCGGTTTTAAAGAATTTTTGACCAGCATCAGAGTCTGAGCCAACTCTATTCACAGATTTCTCAGATGTAGATGCGTTAAAATAGCATTTCTCGGTCTCATGCCCTATTCTAAAACATTTAGTGCATTTTTTTATAGGAAGACTACACTGACTAACTATATGTCCTTCTGTCTTACAGTTGGCACAACGTATTTTCCTTTTAAATGAAGTTGATTGCGATTGATTACTGGATTGAGAAAGATCGGCGGAATTCTTAAGAGGAAGAGGTTTAGAATTACGTTTATCAGGATTGATTTTGACGTTACGCGAATTTCTTAAGTAAGTTAATAGTTTGTCTAAATCATCGAACTGTACCGCCTCTGCGCCTAGCCTAACAGAGCGGTCGTCTATGCCGTGCAGTACGCAATCTACAGCCTTCCTTCCGGTAATAGAGCACCTATTTATAAGGGCTATTTTATCGTAGAAGTAATCTTCTAGAGAGTCCCCGAACTTAGCGCGCCTGGCTAGCATATCACTAAGCATCTGGCCATAATTTTCATCTGACGGAAAAGCTGCAAGTAGTTTAGATTGCCACTCATCCCAAGAAAATAAGACTGAGGGGAGGCCCTCGTACCACCTTTTCGCTACCCCCGTTAATTTGGGAAGAGCGAAGTGTACAACTTGCTTATCAGACCAACCATATATAGTGGCGCACTCGTTTACTTTGTGTAGCCACATAGTTATGGTTTGTTCCTTCCTAGCAGGGTCGAACTCGGGTACAGTATTTTTTTGTGGATTTACTTTATCTGAGTCAGGAGTAACCGCCTTAAGGGCCTGTATTAACATGTTCAAAGTAGTATTATTGGAATTGGATAGACTAGGTGATGCTAAACTAACCTTATTCTCATCCGTTGGTTGTTGGTCAATGGTCCGTTGTGGGTGTTTATTGCACCCGCACCGACAACTACTCAGGCAGCTTACGTCCCGAAGTCGGCTGGGACTGCGGCGAGGTGAGTGATGCTGCTGGTCACGGCTGCGCCACCGCTGCCCGCGCTGATGGTAGACTGTTTGGCTGGTACGGCTTCGAGGCCTTTGGGGCGATTGTCGCCTTTCCTGGGGCCTATGGCTCGACCGGCTTCGGGATCGCCGCGGTGATTGATGCTCATCGAGCGTCTCTCTCGACCGAAGGCACGTCCGGCTTCGGGATCGTCGTGGTGGTCGATGCTCATGGAGCATCTCTCTTGACCGATGGCTCGTTCGGCTTCGGGATCGCCGCGGTGATCGATGCTCATAGAATCTCTCTCTTGACCGACGGCTCGTTCGGCTTCTGGACCGCTGTTGTTCTGGTGTCTCGCCCCTTGGCTGCTGGCTACTGGATTCTGGTCTTGCTGGGCTAAGCAACAACCGGCTTGGGACCCGGTCAGGCGCTTGCTGACTGGGAGAATGCTGGGGTCTCAAACTGGATGCATGACGGCGTCGTTGGCCCGATTCTTGTAGGCTAGATACGCTACCCGAGGGCAACACAGGAGAGCCTGAATGTTCCATTGCTAGCACAAGTACCTGTTTTCCTCACATTTATAGATAAACATTAATGGATGAGTGTAAAACGGGAAAATTAGATACAGCAATCATATACTAACATAATTAAAAAAAATTAAAATGATACTAATAATACTATAAATGATGGGGTAAAATAAAAAAAAAACAAATTTTGCTAGAATTTTGGTTCCAAAATCCTTGTTAGTTAGTTATTTGCCTTTAAAGAATTATGATATGTCCCAAACACACCCTGTACATACATATAAAGTACATAGATTATTCTGTCTATCCCACTTCTGAGATGTCAGGCACCTTTGTTTAAAAGTCATTACATTGTAAAATAATGAAATTTATATATTAGTTAGTAGGTTTATTTCAAGAAATCATACAGATCATCTTCAGGTATGATTCATATATTCGTAGGGTAATAACAATACTTATTTATTTACTTACAACAGTTTAATATGGTCATTAAATATATATTATATTATATATATAACTAGTTTAATTAATCAAATAATTATAAGATTAAATAACAGCATCAATCACACAAAACAAAGAAAGTAGGTACTTACAAGAAATCAATATGATGTCGTTGATGTGAACGAGGCGAAGCTCAAGTAACGAATGACTCTCGGTCGCTGTGCCGCTTGCTTTTATAACCTCAAATAACAAGATGGCGGCCGACCGAGTGTCATCGTTTCACAACTTTTACAGTTTATCAAATACATTAATTCAACAGTTTAAAATTAAATCAATATTTATTACAATTAAAAAATAATAGTAATAATCACATAATTGAATAAATAGCTAACAATAATATCAGAATAAGAAAAATATATGATTGTAAATATTGTATATGGAGCGTATGTACACTTTTTGGTAAATTATTTTCTACTAGTCTGTTCAAATTGTTGAATATCAATTATCTCTATTTACATCGTTTGAGCCCCATTGTGCTCACTCGGAAGAAGTTGGCTGTGCGACGTTCGTAGTGTGTAGCGCATTTTTGCTTATGTTTATGAGTCCCTAGCGCGGCTAGAAACTAGTCGAGTTCCTCGTCAAACAGTCACGCGAGTAAGCCGTTAAACATTATAAAATTAATTGAATATATCTTACGAAAATTTTAATACGAATATAGAAGTAAGAAAGACTGCAAACATAAATATCTCAACATAGTAATTAATCAATATTTTTATAAACATCTTCACTTCTTTACGTCGGCAATAATTTAAATAATTACATTTTCTTTTTATTCTTATTTAATTTTATTAACTCAATATTACAATATTCAATTAATCAATCAATCTAATTCAAATATCAATTGATTTAATTAAGTTATTAAATATTTTATATTATATCACTTCCTGCATAATATAATTGCCTAATAATCATGCAGTGTACACATGTGTAGGGATGCGGTCTTGATCTGTTTTACTTATTTTATAGATATTCTGTAATGTTATTGATTGTATCCTGTTTTGTGTGCCTATTAAAATAAATAAATAAATATTGTTATAGAGATGCCAAAACATTATACAAAACATTTAAATTAAAAATTAAAATGATAAATACCATCTGTGTAAAATCAATGCAAATATAAACAATAACACAAGTTCTAGCTACCATCATCAATATTCAGTATTACTGTACGTTCATTTCACATTTCCGTTTTCAGGCCGCAATGCCGATAATTCCAACAACGCGGCTTGCAGATAATTAATGAATCGAAAATGGTGCCGTACACAATTCCAATTTCCATTTAATTTCAATATTAAAATAATATTACCTTTTGTTTCATATGGACCTAGGCCGACTAACATTTGTACTATGGGAGTAGGTAGAAAGCAAAGTGTTCCTATGTTTACCTGCTAAAAAAAAATTGTTCCTTTTTTTTTGTAAATTGTATTTAATTTAGGTCTCCTTCAAAGATGATGAACAAGATCTTATACTTTTAGTCCAATAGTTTATTGACCAGAACGGATCAAATGTTGTTGGACGACTTCTAAGATACAGTTACTCAGTCATTAGATTCAGTTTTTATTTTTTAATAATAAATTCATACAAATCATTGTCGGACGGACATTTTACGTTTTTCACCGGCCAGTGAATATCTGTGGTGCGGTCAAGCGCAACCATTGTTGCTAGAACAGTATCGTGTTACTATGAGAACGCATCATAATGATACAACGCGTCTCCATCTGCGTGGGAGGCTGGCCGCAGTAAACTGATATAATTTCACATTTATATCACAATTACTAGTACACCGTTCTTCGGTACTTGTGACACGTCACGATAGTCAACGTAATTCCCATTCATAAAGCGTTAAATTTCGGAGTGCGATGTAGAAATGTTTAAAGGTTTCGTGACTTGGGATCATAATCGTAGTATTGTTGTACCATTTCGTGGGCGAATATGTAAGTTCTGACCTTATCAAAGTAATTATGTAGTTTTAAGCACAATGCGTAATGTGCGTGTTGATCTAGTTTATATTTGTATGTTAGGCTTCCTTTGCGCACATTTTTAGTAGTTATCCAGTTTTTGTAGTTGGGGCGTAATTCTACCCGCCTGTATGCACGTAGCATTCGAAAATGATTAGGCGAAGTTTAACGGGATTTCACTGTTATTATTGTCACGCTATACACCAGGTCGCCATTGCAAAGGGAACTGGAACATCGAAGTGGCCAAAGCGCGGGGAAAACCTAACGCTAACGTAAAGTATTCTGATTTCAATCTATTTATATTTTATTGACTTAAAAGTTAGATTTATAGACCCATTGCGTCAGCTTTATTGCAGATTTTTTGCGCTGCATAGCATGACATCATCCTGCTCTGAATATTTTAGACGTCATTAAAACCCTCCTCAGGGCTTTTTGCAGTGCGTCACAAGGGACGCCCTTGCATAAATCCCAGACAACATGCCTCTTTCGCTAGTCGCCCTCCGACCCTCTGCGGCGCATTGTGCACAGGGGGCAGCGACCGTCATGTAGGAAGCGCTCCCTCGTCGCCATGACAACGCCACTTCCCGCGAATATTGACAGACGCCGATGTAGACAGTGAAACAACCCTCACCCGCCATGCAATGGTACACGCGTTCACGCGTGTCTGCCTCCAATGATATATTTTTGCAAGAATTAACTTCCCCACGTGATGACGTGCTTATTACCGATAAGGTGTCCGCCATTGTGTCAGCCACAGTCCGCAATGGGGGGTTTATTGCTACAATTTAAAGTGTTAATGCGTCTGCCATATTCGTTAACACAATTTTAGTAGGGTTACTTTGAATGCTTAACAGTTATTTGTTTTGGATTAGCTCAGTAACGGATAAAATAGGTATCTACTTAGTTACTGTGTCCATGATTTGTAAAACATTAATGACATCAATTTGTTCTGTCCGAGAGACTTTATCTTGAAGAAGGTTAAATATTGAGTGATTTGGTTTACTTTCAGATTTATAGTGATTACATAACCAATATTATGCTACTACATTCGTTCACTAACAAGTTGGAAACTTGTATCTATACAATTTGAATGTATGTAAATTGACTCGTAGGTATTGTATGTTACTGCACTACAATGAAAATCGCATTAACGCACTTTGCATTATAAATTCTTGGAAGCAACGCAGAATTTAATGATATGCAATAGAAATCTATTAATTCATTCAACAGCTGCGCACGCTGACATTTACTTTACGTTGATTTTAAAATCAGTATTCGTGGTCTGTGGACAAATTGACATTAGCTTTTTTTGTAAAAACATAAACAAGTTAGACGAGGGGTTGTCGACCTTGCCGTGGTGGCCGTATTGATTTCGCAATAACTTCACAATAAAATAGATTGAGCAATAAAATGTTATGAAGCTGGCAAATGTGCGATTTATAAGCGTAGAGTTGAATGCAACAATATTGTGTCGTGGTCGTCCCACTGAGCCCTTGACATGGATATTGAAATGCAACTCAAAGTCATTGGACTGGATTGTAAATAAAACGCTGCGTCAGCGATGACTACTCAATATGGACCCGACGACTGGATCCGCGAACTGCCGCGCATACTAAACCAAACACTCCAATGAGAGAGTAAACCAGTTTACGGATGTGTTTTCTTTTCTTGTCATTTTAAAAGGAAACCATTCCTGTTGGTTTTACGTTCGTAGCAAGCCTCTACGCCGCGGCTACGAGCGCCTATTCACGGGATGAACAGTTGCAGTATAAAAAACATATGCATACAATACATATAAAATATGTTCTTTTCGCTTCGTTCAGTGTGTATTTAATGGTCGGTTTGTTTGCGTTCTCTATATATAATGCACTTGATCAACCATTATGCCGAGCTTATTGAAAATATTTGCTCGACCCTGCTTTTATTGATCTACCTTTATTGCTTTTACGTAGGTATTAGTTCAATAAATATAGGACACGACCTACTACGACATTTCAATTTTAATAATCTCGATAAGTTTGCGAACAATACAACGAAATAATGGAATCGATTCAATTATTGAGTATTTCTGTGGAATAAAATTACTTTCTTTGGCACATTTTATTTCTGTACTCGGAATTGAATGTACATAAGGTACTACAGTTATGTTCATACATAGTTTAATGTATAATAACCTTTCTATTTCTATTTCATACACAATTCACAAGTATGGCATAAATAATACCTTCATAAACTGGGAACATGTTATGTAGGTACCAAAAACTAATGCTATAATGCTTTGTGACCTCCAAATCGCTTGGCGTAAGTAATATAAGTAACATGCTACCAATTCTCTCGTAAGTCCTGAAGCCTCTAAGCATAAATTGGGATTGGTTTGCCTTGAATCATGGCGCTGTATGCCAGAGTATGTGAGCTTAATGCTGCGTCGTTCCGGTTAATCGCTGAGTGCAGGCAGAATGTCCATCCTAGCGTGTAACGTAATTTCTCTTCACAGCCCGGAGGGATTGCCTACTGCCTCCCTCTTCCAGCTACATACACCGCTTTCATAAAATGAATGAAATTCAAATTTTATGCAATAAAAATGTAATGTTAGCCTGCTCTCTTTAATATCAGGAGGGTGGTCCCTAACTCACTTACATTTTCTTTGATTGAGTTAGGAGGTGGTTGCTTTTGATAAAGTTCTAACTTATCTACAGTGTAAGTATTAAAATGTCGGTGAGACCTTCATGGTTCCGTAATAGGTTATTTTTAGCGTCTCCACATTGACAAGAACCTGTACGCGTTGCTGTTTTCCTGGTAATTGATAATATTTACCTACTTTATTCGAGAGTGTGTGTGATTTGATTAGTCTTTACGTATATATCACCTAAAAGGAAGGGAGATATCCTACAACAGATATTTGGGTGCGAGTATTTTGCATGTGCAATCAGCACTGCTGTGTGTCTAGTTATTTTATTTCATGACGATATGATAGGCAAATAAAATATCCCGTCCAATTACGTTTTGAATAAATAGCTGGACTAGTTTCGTTATTATTTGTTTATCACATACAAACGGAAGAAAGATGCTATTGTTAACGTCAATCACTTTTGCATTGAAAAAGAAATATATAGAATGTGTTAGCGAATTATTATTAAACCTGCCATCAATATAATTAACTGTGACTTGCAGTTTGCGCAATTTCATTAACATTATGTATTGAAATGCTCCAATAACAGCCCAACCCGTTGCGTTTTTGTGAAACGTATCGGAACATGGCCACTGTCCCAAATAGCGAAAGCGCTTTGTAACGCAATCTGCTGAATAGTCTTGCATTCGACTTCCTCGAGGGACGCTAAAAATAAAAATATATGTATGAGGCAAACTGTAATAAACGCGCTAGTCGATAGCATAATATAATGGACAATAAACATCTTGAATATAATGCTTGTAACTTTATAGATTACAACTCGTAAACGTTGATGTTAATTAGCTATACCTACCTGTGTTATGTGTTTGGGTCTATGTTAAGTAAAATTTTTAGTTTTTTCTTAGGTAAGTTTTAGGACTATCTTATTCGTTTAATTCAATAGTCTTGTACTGGTGCTTATGGCACGTGATGCACGACTGTGTTGCCGATATAAATAAATTTTCTTTCTGATCGTTACCTTCATTAGATTTTGACAAACAAATAAAACTAAAAAGGTGCCTTACGTAACAAATAAGTATTTTTCTTAAAATAAAAATTCAACAAAGATATGAAGTTTAAAAGTAATAAAAAAGGATTGATTTGATTCAAATCGACGATGAGCAAAAGCTTCATCGACATAATGAGTGTACCTGCTAATTTATTCATAAATATTCATGAACTCTTCTGCCTTTATATTTTTATTCGAACGTTGTGTTTAGGTACCATACCGCGAATGTCGAAACGTCCGCCCGGGGTCATCAAAGGCTGCTTCACACTAATTTGAATAGAGACACTATTTATGTATTCAAAACAGTTTATTGCGTGACGCCCACAAAGGATGCATGCATAGTCTTTCTGTTATTGTTCATCCGTTATATGAAGGACAATTTGTCGACTGTCAATAGAATAATTGCCGCCTGTCGATACGAGCTCCATCAATTTGTATCAATCTTAATAAATACTAATCAGCTCTCAAATCTTAGAGCTTTCGAACACGTGTGTGTAACGTTTTCGTGTCGTGTTATCAACATGTGTAGCTGTGTCTACCGAACAACGTAGCCAATGTTAAACGCTCAATATTTTCCAAGAATAATGACCTAACTATTCAATGAACATTACGCAGATCAATGAACAAAGAGCGTCCAAAAATCGCGAGTACTAGTGACTGCTTCTAAATACGGTTGATGGTGTGCAAATATTGTAACGGGACTGTGAATGCTAGCCATGCCATGCTAGGCGAGTCGGGTTCTGGTGTTTGAGTCGGATGGGTGAGGAAGGACGCGGCATGTCCTGCCGCTGCGATACCCAGCCGGACGTGTGGTGCTGCGCTAATAGTGACCTCATCGTAACGGTTGTGCATACTAACCGCGGCCAATGAGCATGTTTTTACTTTAAGCCAAGCCACCTGTTATTTAGACTCTTACATGCATACTTGTAGGTATGACACATAACTTGTAGATACTCTGTTACATATGCGTGCTAAGTAAGTCAGTGCCTAAGTAGGCACAGGCACCGCGAATGATATCTGATAATGGAAGAGTCGTGTAGTCTAAAATTAAGTAGCTTGTACAATCGTTAAGCTGCAGGATTGTGATTGTGAATACCTTGTTCACCTCAACTTAACATGACTTCAAGACCTACCTTTACGTCGGATAATATTTGTAAAAACAAATTACGAAAACAATTTTTTTATAATGTTTTCAATCACTGAGTAGATACTCAATTAATGGTGTTTTAATTATTATATAAAATTGCTATTGATTTCACTATGGTAAATGGGTGTAAGTTACAGGTACTTAATGATCAGCCGGGTTTGCGGGATAAGCGCAATGAGGCACCGAAACCTCGGCCCAGAGCAGGAGAAGGAACGGGGTCTTTTTAGTCAGTAAGAGTCTGAAAAAATGGTACTTAATGATCAAAGTTTGATCAAAAGGTAGATATAGATAGACTAGACTTAGTTATATAGGATATGATACGACATTAAGCTGACCAAAGTCTGTGCTTATAGTGTAAATTAATTTTGACGTAACGCGCTCTTGACACACAACTTGTAGGTAATTCATATTTACTGAGTCACAAGCCATTTACCTGAAGGTCAATAACACTGTATTCATTATGAAGATGCATAAAGTTTTATTAAAGATGACTAAATACTGAATGTCGAGTCGTAACATGTTTATTTTTTATACCTTATTTTAAGTCCGTTTCAGTTATTTATATAAACTTTTACTTACCTACTTACTCAGTTTATGTAGTTTTTGACACTCAAAAATGTAGACCATTTTATAATTAAATTAAATTAATTAATTGCATTTTTGATGCCTGTTTTAATTTTATTACTTTTATCGTGCATTGTTTATAAGAAAGGCTGTTTGTTTGTTTGTTTACAATAAAGTTGTTTATTTTCCATAGTAAAATTATTACAGCGCCATCTATGGTTGAGTAGTTACACTATGTAAAGACAGTAGAACCACTTCTATGAACTAACACCTTATGAATAAACTAGATGGCGCTGCCTGTTGTACCATTTTCTACTGAAAAACAGATGGCGCTGATAAATGAATTCTGACTTAA